ATCTACAGGTATGTCCGCGTGGAAGATGCAGCTCTTGGGGCCTACCCGAAAGGTCAACATGTAGGGTTTAGAGTTTGGAGTTCTAGAGTTTTAGGGTTTCAGGGTTTTAGGGTTTTGGGGTTTTGGGGATTAGGGGTTTAGGGGTTTAGGGGTTTAGGGTTTAGGGGTTTAGGGTTTAGGGTCTCAACAATTGCTGACAGAGGCCTAGGTCGGGAGAGGCCCATAAGAGACCGGCACTCATCACACCCCAACATTTTTAATCGCAGCTACTCGCAACGCAAACAACAGAACCATCACCGACTTACACAGGCCCCGAAACCCTCACATAAATAACAGATTCCCACACCTTTCCCCACGCTTTCCCACTGGTATGAAAGGTATAAGAAAGGTTTAGAAATGTCTCTAAGAAACACGTGTGCCCTCCTATCAATGGTAACCCTAAGAGTCCAAGGACCAAAATATAAGGCTTTAAGGCCCAAATACCATATATGTTATAGTATTTGGGCCCTAAAACCCTTGTGTATATATACATGTTCGGACATATAGATAGCCCCGTCTAAAGGGGCTCGTGGGAAAGGCGGAGGCAGAGCGTCGGGCGGCTGCGGGCGAGGCAACATTTGTGCACGGCTTCAGCGTTCAAGTAGATTTCCACAGGTTTGGATTCTAGGGTGTAGGATTTAGGGTTTAGGATTTCGGGTGTAGGGTTTAGGATTTTCGGGTTGGGATTTAGGATTTCGGGTTTAGGGGTTTAACATCTCGGGTCCAGGGTTTAGGATATGGGGCTTAGGTGTATTTAGCGCTTAGGGAGCCCCAGGAAACTCACAGATGGACCAGACCTCCTAAGTAATGAACCTTTAGTTTCCCTTGTAAAAGGTGTAGGGTTTAGGGTTTAGGGTCTCTCAGGGCGTCAATTCTATCTGGGAGGCCCTCTGGGAATCTACCAGAAGCCTTGCTGCTGAGGAACTTGCGATATGTGAAGGGTTTTGTTCCGGAATTTAGGCTAGGTTAATTTAGGGTGTTGGGGTATAGGGTTCAGGATTCAAGGTTTGAGGGTGCTGTTAAGGCCCTTGGCTGAAGATACCCAAATGAAGAATCAAATGGAAAGTGGATGCAATGGGAACTGGCGTTATTGGAGGTTTTACTTGGGACTCAAGGAAAATGAATTAAGTGACCATCGTCTCGTTATGAAGTACCGAAGACAACTGTCTTAGATTTCAATCACGTTAACTTCCGTGGCAGCAACTTAGTTTTTGTTTGGCATGAACCACCTCTTGGCAGGGAACGAAGCGAATGGAACAGGAAATAGAAAGTAGTACGTTATAGGGGTTGTAACTAGCTACGATTTGGATCCGTGGCTCGATTCCGCACTAAAAACCAGTGAGTTTGAGGATTAGGGGGGTAAACTAGGTAGACTTTAAAAGCCTAAACTCCTAAATCCTAAATCTAGAATAGGGTTCTGGTGTTCAGGTCCAAGAATACTGTGGTTGTGGTTGTGCCTGTGGTGGTGGTGGTTGTGTTTGCATTTCGGGTTGCGGTTGTGGCACTGCTGGTTCTTGTTATTGTGTAGGCTTGTGCCGTCTTCATGGTCATGGGGTAGGGGGTCTAAGGGTTCACTGTTCTTGGACCTAGGGTGAAGGTTTAGGGTTTAGCGTTTTAGGGTTTAGGGTTTAGGGTTTAAGGGTTTTGCTGGGGCCGTGCGCGCGCGTTTCTTTGCCGGCGCGCGCTTTGGCGCCATCTCAGGGTTGTTCCACGGGATTCGATAAAAAGTTGTACGTGCCCATGGTTGTGGCCTACACTGCGCGGTCAGACAAACTACGGTGCTAGCTGTTGAGAGCAAATTCAACCCAGTAGGGGAATTGCACACTGTATGCAGTGGGTGTTCAATACTGGTACAGTGGACTTTCTGCATCATTCTGTCCAATGTGCGTTTCAAGGATTCAGGGCGGCTGTGTGGTCTGAAGGCTTGATTCCAAACTTCTAGGAGGTTAGTTACCCCCGCATAAAACGCGAAACATTTAAGCCTATGGCTCTTCTGAGAAACCGATAGAGTTGCCCGTCTAGCAAGCGCTACTTGGCAATATTGCGGTCCGCAGACCAGTGGCAATCTCATTTTCCTGTATGCGGTTTCTGCGACACCGAGCCTTTCTAGGAATGATGTCTCCAAGGGATGGGTGGTAGGATGAGCGGTTGTAGGATACTAGAGAGCCAATCCCCAAGGGTCCATGTACCTAATAATTGGGTACTTAGGGTTTTGGTAATAGTAATTATAGTACAGGTTTGGGGTAAGTATATGATTATTAGGTACTTGGACCCTTATAGGGAATGTTTTCGATTGTTTCAACAATTTCCACCGGTTCTCCCGAGCTTGTCGCTTTGCGGTGGCATAGCTTGATGCAAGCGCGACCAGCCATGAGATCACATGTTACATTCTCTACATGGGGGTTTCCCAAATTAGGGTTTATAGGGGTTTTATAGGGGTATATAGGGATATCTAGGGTTTAGGGTTTAGGGATTAGGGTTTCCCAAAATTAGGGGTACCCTTTTTAAGGGTCCCTATGATAAGGACTATAGTATATTAAGGTCTATATTGGGTTCCCCTTATTTTGGGAAACTACCACATTGTATTATAAAGGACAGCAGTTCGGCGTGCTCTTAGCACCTAACCTAGGTGTGCCTCGACCACCATGGGCGCAAATCCATCATGCTCTGAATCCGGTTATGAGAACACGGACACAAATGCTCACCATTTCAATGATGGCTACGTAGCAACTTCAGGAGCTCTTGAGGATTATTAGCAGGTCTTTCGATTGGCTGCTATTAAGTCACTTCAGACACTCATAGGGTTGAGCACAAACGGACCGTCGCCACTTGAATGGGTTTAGGACTCATGGATCGTGATTATCAAGCAGAGGGTACCTATTTTGGACCAATCAGATTTCATTCTGGGCATAGACTGGAACTACAAGGCAGAATGGGGCTTAGGGCTGGGTTGATTCTCCTACTCCCCCCTTCCCCCCTATACTACCCCCCTGGTGTTCCGACAAAACTGGCCTTAAATAGCACTAGTTATGCTTGAAGGTTGATAACACCAGTTATCCCAGAGGGGTAATTTGGGGGGAAAATAGAGGAACCCATAAAGGTTAGGGGTAATATGGGAACCCATAAGGTTTCCAGGTTTGTGTATGGTCTAATTTTGGGCTTCCATGTTGCATTTGAGGGAGGTAACCCTCAACAGATTAGACCCTAAACCCTAAACCCCTAAACCCTAGACCATAAAACCTGCAGATCACCATCGAACAAAGCTGGCAGGGTTGGCAAATTAGAACAATCTCACCCGACCCCACCCAACCGCACCCACAATGGTGAGTGATAGCGTATTGCGAAGGAATACTACATGTGGGGTTTCAAAGGAAGGGTGAGGGTGGGGTGCTTTTTTCGGAATGCCCATAAGAACAGCTACTGGTAATAGTACTCTTGGGTCCTTGTTACGGCCCCCTAGTTTTATGCAAGCCTTACGGTTCATTCAGCGTTTGCGCTTAAACGTTGAAGATTTGTTCAGGGTTTAGAACTTTGGGTGTTGCAGCCCACGTGTTATGGTTACTACATGCATCCCCCATCTGATTGAAATTCAATATAGTTATTGTCGCGCTGTCGCGCACCCGCCCCAGCTGTTGGGGTGCATAGAAAGTCCTTGCACACCATATTTGGGATTGGGGGAGCGATGGGGCGGGGGGCCAATGCGGGTCGGGGGCGAACTGAATACAATCCCGCCCATGTGTTATGCTCATGTGTGTTGCACAGTTATGTTCACACAACCTCTCATGGCTGCACGCAGTTGCTCAAGGCGTAAAGGATCTGATGTTCAAGCCAGCGCATGCAGAGAAAACAGCATTCTGCTTAGCTGTACTCGTAGAAAGGCTAAGCACGCCCCAAGTGAAGCCAGAGACGGGGTTCGGTCTAGGGACTTTAGGAGGGACCCCTAATAGGAACCCTTAATCCCACTACCATATATAACCCTTATATAGTCATTGTATAACCCCTATATCCCTAGGNNGGTCCCTCCTAAAGTCCTTAAATTCGGGGTGGTGGGCTCGGTAGGGTTGGGGGGGTTTGGGGGGTCTGCCCTCATAACTCCTGGAATTGCGGCGGCGCTTGAGTTGCTGTGGCTATGTCGTTGTGTTAGATCGTGGCTGTAAGCATATTTGGCAGCTTTGTGAGTTTTAACTAGCTGGACCTAATCAGGTAGGTCCAAAATAGCGTCCGATCATCCTCAAAGAGGTACGGTGGATACTACAGCCCCTGAATTACCCCAAATACCCTAAGCCTTGGACATTGTGGGAGGTTGGTATCACAAGGAAGGGCACGCAAGATTTTTAGTATCAACACTCTCATCCCAGGCAATGCGCTACCTTCCCCCGTCTATGAATAGATACGGGTAACCTAAACCTTGAACCTAAACCCCGTACCCTAAAC